TTAGTTAACTCAAACCGAACTAAATATTATTGTTATATTCATATGCACACTCACGGTTCTACAATCTGTTAATACCTGTAATTTGGCATTGCATGAGGTCATATTTTTCGTTTTGAATTTTCCTTAGAGTTCAATATTTTGTTATTTTACTTTTTTCAAATAATTTTTATAGTTCTTTTTTTTTTTTTTTTTAACAACATAATTATTTTATTCATCAAATATTGCTTGTTACATAAATCGTCAAGATTCCAAGCTTCTCTTGACGTACCCTGTTATGATCCACTGACTACCCAGGGAATAGTCAGCTGATTAGATTAATTGACATACATTTTGTTTACAAAACATTATAATAACAATACTAGAAAAATTATTCATTGATTATGTTCCTTTTAATTGTTAGTAGCATTGGACTTATTGTCTTATGTCCATTAATATTGGTGTCTACTCTCTTAGTGTATTCATTGACAAAAATTCTTTAGACGTCTATGTTTTTTGTTTTCTGCTCAGATACATAGTATGACTTATATATTGAAAAACTAAGTATCGTAATTAAAAAATTTATTGAGTAATACTTGTTGTCTGTGATTTTGTATCCAAATATCAGGTGTTGTAGTTTTGATAAAAAAATCTATATTACTCCTTTTTAAGAGGTCGTATATTTGCTGCCAAAATCTTGTCAAATGAGAACAATTGAAAAAATAGTGATCATAATCTTCTTCTATGTTACAAAAATTACACATATTGTTATTAGTTATTTTCCATTGTAATAAAAGCTTTTTTGTTGGTACAATAAACTGTAGTAATTTCCATCTGAATATTTTTAATTTATTTTCAGTTAAATATTTAAAAATAAAGTTATATAGTGAATTCATATTTGGAGCTTCTTGCATTGGTAGAATTTTAAGCCACCTGTTTATCCCTACTGACGGTTCTTTTTTAATATTCACTAGCGAATCATATAACATTTTATTTGAAAAACATGTAGTCTCAAAATAACGATCTTTCCATGTGATCTTATTTCTATTGACATTTACTGTACTTTGAACAGAATTTTCTTGTTTAACTATGTGAATCCAATTTTGTGGAATAGCATGTTTCAATATATGAAATTCTGCAATCCAGTTTACCTTACACTTTAATTTGTTTAAAATATATTTTTCTGATAATGACATAGTGTCATCTAAAATGTCATTCAAGTATATCATACCACTCTTAATCCAGTTTTCAAAGAAAATTGGTTTATTATGAAATGTAATAAATTTTTTCCCCCATATTGTCCGCTTTCTTATATCAAAATATGTATCTGGTTGTTTTGTTTGCCCACCCCCAGTCAAACTATTTTTATAGTTCTTATGTTGTACTGTTACCCTACTGTCACAGGTTAGGGGAGAGTTGTGCGCCCACAAATATGTTTAACCCCGCCACATTCTTTATGTGCCTATCCAAAGTCTGGAGCCTGTAATTCAGTGCTTGTTGTTTGTTGCTGTATATCATATTTTGTTTCGTTCATTGTTTTGTTCATACATCAGGCCGCTAGTTTTCTCGTTTTAATTGTTTTATCTTTGTCATTTCGGGGCCTTTTGTAGCAAACTATGCGGTATGGGTGTTGCTCATTGTTGAAGGCCGTACTGTGACTTGTAGTTAACTTCTAAGTCAGTTGGTCTCTAGTGGAGTGTTGTCTAATTGGATATTAAAACACATCTTTTTTTTTATATTTGTAAGTAGTGATAATGCATTTTTTCACAATCATCTGACGTGATATACATAGTTAATTTTAACAAAAAGTCCTTTTAAGTTTTAGCAGAATGTTTTAAATCCCCTTTGGGAAAACAGTTCAGTTAAATATCTTCAATAAGTGAAAATTCGAAAGCAAACCAATCATTATAGTTTTCATATTTGCATTAAATTAACTGTTATAATAATGAAATATCATTTTCCAGAGGAGTGTTAATGAACTCATGTACAACAATGTCTAAACCCAATTATAATGAAGAGCTTGATTGTCCTTGATTTATTGTTATCTGCTATAAATTAACCCAAGAAATCTAAATGTTCGATTTCACTGTCCATAAATTCTGAGTTTGCATATGCATTCACAAAGACACAAATATCAGGTTGAGGCGGATCATCCTGATTATCATCATCAGTCATGTTATTTCTTATTCTTTAATACACTTGATAAGTCTTTGGTCACTTTTACAATGAATTAAATGTAAAATAATTCGATACGGAAAACAGTCATTGACCTATAATTGTTAATTTTTGATACATTGTGACTTTGATGGAAAGTTGTCTCATTGGCACTAATACCACATCTTCTTATTTATATTGAACCAACTAATTCTGTAACATTGATTTCCAGGGTCACCTAACAGTTCATTTGGCACAGGGGAGCTGGAAAAAATGTCCTACTAATACAATTTGAACACCACCAAAGTAATGAGTTGATTTTCTCACATTTCTTATTATAAATTCCACTAGACAAAGAACTTCGGAACTAATCATAGAAATTTCGTCAATAAATAGCTCTAGAACATTAATGTTCAGAAAATTCTCCTTTACAGAAATACTTTTATTTATCTGTTTCAATAAGATGAAGTAAATGTTCACTCATATGCCTACCATCTTCAAATCTGCCCATCTAGGTGTGGTTTGTGCTCCTAGATCGGAAATATGTGCGGCAGCAATGCCTGTAGAACAGACAATTTCTGTCTTTCGTTGATGTTTTCTTAAATATTTAACAACCTATTTTACCATGAATGTTTTGCAAGCTCCCGCTTGTCAATTCATTGCTCAAATTAAACGCTACAATTTGTTCTTCATCAAACATTTTAGAAGTTTCCCGTACGTTTCAAATAAAACTAAATACAATTCGAATATCTCTATTCTTTTCGTGTAGCTACATTGCTTCCGAAACTCATGTGTAAGACTGGTAATCTTGAACAGGAAAGCAGATTCTTTGAACGGAGTTATTGAACATAGGGAACGACTACGCAAATGGCGCTGTATTTTCATTTCCGTGAATAGAGGTTCAAACGGACGACAATTGTAGAACAAAATTACTGAAACAAGACATAAAACCGCCGCAGATTACTATGTTACATATTTAAACGTTGAGAGAAATATCTCCCGAGATAAAGAATATCATTCTTTTGAAAAGTAAGTGAGTTTTTGTACGAAATATAATGGAATTATATGTGACTGTCATACAAGTGAGAGGTTTAGCTAGCTATAAAACCAGGTTTAATTCACCATTTTCTACATAAGGAAAAGCCTCAGCCTGTACAAAGTCAGGAATATGACAGTTGTTTTTACATTCGTTTGATGTGTTTGAGCTTTTGATTTTGCCATTTGATAAGGGACTTTCCGTTTTGAATTTTCCTTGGAGTTCGGTATTTTTGTTATTTTACTTTTTTTGTACGAAATTTATGGCGATTTTCCGATCTGCACCTCCAAAGTGAAAGTTGGTCATTCAACGAAGGTAAATATCTTTTATTTTCACTTGCGGTTCGTACGGATGGTACAAAAGGTATTGTAATCAGCTAGTAATGGGTTTATGAGACTTGTTATATGTCTAAACATTTTAAGAAAATTATAAATATGAACAAAAATAGAATTTATTTTTTTTACATTCGGGACCTAAAATGGGGGCCATGCCTCAAATATCTGTGATATCTCCCAATTGAAACGATATTTCAGAGCTTTAGAGTGTTACCATGATGTAAAAGATTTCGAAGTGATGAAGTTGAAGAGGACAAAATGATAATGCCATGGCAAAAAACGAAAAACGATAAAAGATAAATCACAGCATATAAAACACAATATAGAAAACCAAAGACTAAGCAGCCCGAATGTCCTAAAAAAAAATTTTGTAGTTGAATGTTTATTGACAAAAACGCCGATAAAAAGGTTTTTTGTAGTTGAAAGTACATCTGATATATAGTATACACCTTCTCGATAAAGTAAAAATTAAGTAAAATATAACAAAAAAGGATAAACAAAATGGAAACAACACTGTAAAAACTTCTCGCGTCCGAATCGGACATTAGGATCCACCTGCACAAGAAACGCCCAAAGTCAAAAACACGATAGCGGAATGAATAAATACCCTGTCACGTCAAAAGTCCTACGAACAAAAGAAACATAATAGAACGAAGACAAATAAAGTAAATAATAAAAAAAAAAAAAACACTACTTCAGCACATAGGTAAAATATACAAAAACTTTAAGAATCGGAAAAACCCCAACTCCAATTCCGGAGGAAGACGGGATGCGTAGACAGGGAACTTGTCTCCTGCTGTGATCAACACTAACTCAATAAATATTTCACAATCGGGGAATTCGACACAATCGGTAAAATTACGACTAATCTGGTACCAATGATTTAAAAAGGTGAAAACATGTTGTTGGTAAGATGAGAGTCAGGCAGACTGTATCAACCAACAAATTCGTGAAGGTGACAGTTAAACTTGTGTAGTGTCGATGTCAGTCATTCTTCATCATAACTCTGATGGAGCAGTTTTGTGTTAAGAGTAAGCCCTGCTATTGAAATATTAAACAATTATACACATTAATGGATTGAATTGGGAAAGATAAATATTGTTACTTTCTTTAAACGAAAAGAGAGTTTGTGAAATGTCATCATTTCAAACCTGTTCAGCATAAATGGAAGTAGAAAAACAATTACTTCTCCTTGATGCAATTGCGAATTCCTATAAATGATTTTTTTTCTTGCTGTTTATATTTGTGTTTTTGTTTAAAACAGATCTTTCGCTCGATATAAAGCTTGGAACAGAAATATTGTTCAAACCATTATTATGTAGTCTCCGTGATTTCGTTCTGTGTTCCAAAATGTTAAATTATAATAATGAGCGTCACATTTGGAACAGACACTTTCATGGCAAATATATTGTTTTTACAACATCAAATCTTACATTTGTATTGCTATTGTTAATTAAATCAAGGAAATACAGTTTGTTGTTTGTTGTTTATATTTGTAGTTAGCTATGACCAAATTCATGTTGAGATAACATCCTTAAACGACAGTCGTTCGTTCCAAAGAGGAAATTTACCGTTACCAGGTAGGTAAAAGAAAATATGTATACTCTTATCATTATCACTGTTATTTGTCAACTTTTGATGCAATTAAGTCTAAATTGTTTGGAATCATTAATAGATTGATAATTGGAAGACTTTCTATTAGATGTTGATCAGGTTGACAACCTGAGAGCATTAGTTTCACAAAGTTCTCTTTGATGTCAAATGAAATGAAAGGGATAACGAGATATGATAGCCTGGCATTTCCCATCTGGTAATGAATCCACTGCATAAGAGGGCGTCCGTTAGGGTTTTCGGGTTGTATAAACACGAAGTCACATTCGGTCGGCAATGGTACATCTAATGTCTCATGTAGAAAAATGACAGGCTTTCTCCACGAAAAGAACCATTACAAATACTGGTTGAAGAATCTTTTAGTAGTCTTTTACAAAGCAAATTTGCTGTCTCTATCAACGCACCCTTTCTTACCAGTGTAAGTATTAATTTCCTGACCGTTTTCCCTCTCTAGCGTTACAAAACTTACCTGTAGGATTTATTGATAACTTGTTCTCGTTCTGAATATTCTGCATTTAATTTCGATTGAATAAAAAAACATAGCTGCTAAAGCAATTTTTTATTCGGATTTGTCGTTTCTTCATAACCATGATACTACAAGGCGAACAGTTTGAATCTTTAGGGGGAGGGGTTGAAAAAAACAACACCAACGCCAACAGAACTACATGTAAATGATTAAATACATAGAAAACATTTGTTCTATTATCTGTCCTGTGATCCAATTAACTACCTTATAGTGACAAAAACGTCTGTTTAAAACTACTCCACCTTAAAATCATGCAAGGTGATAAATGTGCAGAAAGTATATATAAAGAATTATTTTAGATATTTTGTTCAGAATGAAATTTTAAATCAAAAGCCGCCTGTATGTTCCAGTTGGAAAGTAACTCTTATTTGGCATCATTGGACACCACCTATTCGCGATATTTAGCAATTTTTATTACTAGAATTGAAGGCCGCGTTTTCAAATATTTTTTACTCAACTGTTTCAACATATTTTCTTTAGAGTTTACATTCTTAAGAAAATATTGACAATTAACGTTACGCTAGTAGCCTAGTAATAACCAATCTTAACAATTTAAGTAATATGTTTATCTAATCACGTATGCATTGAACTTAATACATTTTTTTTGAAAATGTGGCCAAAACTATGTCATATAAAATGTGTGCCTCTTTATATGCCATTAGAAGCAAATATATACATGACTATAAAACATTAATGAATTATTGCATCATTTCAAACTACCGTTATCATATATAAAGTTATTCCATGTAATTTTTAATAGGTAGAAAACAATGTAATATGTTTGCAACTTTATGTCTATTAATTTCATTTTTGACGTTCTGTCTAAATTGGTACTTGATCGTCGAACTTAAACATTTACAAATAAACAAATACATGTAATAAGTTAAAGAAAAAGACAATTAGCATCCTATTTTATCTTAAAAAATTTAATTATAAAGACCTACTTCAGAGAAGTTTTCTCTAATCGAAAAAAGAAAGGATCAACTACCACAGATACATGCAAGCCTGATTTCCATTTTTATGTAGCAACATTCCAGCAGCGCCTGCATACGGAGTATATATCTCCCAGTTGATACGATACTCCAGGACTTGTTTTTCCTATTATGATTTCCTTGATAAAGGGTTGCTGCTCACAAGGAAGCTATTAAACCAAGATTTCCAAGTGGTGAAGTTGAAATCATCCCTTCGGAAATTTTACTGACGCCATCACAAGTTGGTTGTCCGTTACGGAATATCCGTTTCACAGATGATAGCGGATATGTTCCTAATGTCGTAACTACAATCCCGTCCCCTTTTGCCGAATTTGACCTACCGAATTAGACTTATTACCGGGTTTATACTAACATGAGCAACACGACCGGTGCCACATGTGGAGCAGGATATACTTACCCTTCCGGAGCACCAGCTGAGATCACCCCCAGTTTTTGGTGGGGTTCGTGTTGCTCATTCTTTAGTTTTCTATGTTGTGTTTTGTTTACTCTTGTTTTTCTGTTGGTCTTTTTCTTTTTTAGCCATGGCGTTGTCAGTTTATTTTCGACTTATGAGTTTGAATGTCCCTTTTGGTATCTTTCGCCTCTCTTTTTCCACTAATTGTGGTTGAAAGCTTCCGGTCGTCATAGTGATCACAGAGTCCCAAAATATTTCAATTTATATTGAATCACAACATTTAAAATATTCATGAAACCTTTGAATAAGTTCTCATTATATTACCAAGAAAAAAAACCTAATTTGTTTTAAAAAATGCTTTGCCAAATTTGCAACTCAATAGTCTTTTTGTCAATTAGAGATTTGATTATGTTATAACAAAATTTTACACAAGTTGTTTCCCTTTGCCAACTGTATAATGTTTCTATATCGAGCAAAATGAACTGCTGCAAATGCAAAGCATGACAAGTTGAAAGTGCTATATAGGGGTTTTAACCAACGTTGAAAGAAAAATAAATTTGATAACAAAATGATTGGATAAGGAAAAGATTATAAGTAATCAAAATATTGTAAAAAAGTTACAGACTACAAACATTACGCACATATACACTTGCTCTTTCTGCTTGCGTTTCATGGGCGTCAGCATGGATATTTATCTATATCTTACTCAAAGTTGCATTTATAAGAATGCATGACTGAAGATACCAAAATACATGCAAAGTCAATGACTAACTGACAACGCTACAACGTTTTTGATGTCTTGTTTTCCAATTGATTTACTTTTGCTAGTGTTTGTAAAAAATGCAAACTATTTGGAATGGAATGCTGGTTTTTAATTCTAGAAAGGGTGATAACTCTATAACCTGCAGTGTATTTCTATGTATTTTTTGAGTCAATTTGCTTCTATGCAAAGGCAGGATGACCATGTGTACCAAGAAAAAAGTGAAATAACAGTAAAACAATAACTAGTAATATAATTATTTGTCCTCGTTCGAAACATATCAAATGTTTTATTGATACAAGTGTCGTCCGCAAGAAAAACGGTATCATATGTTTTAGTTATAGAAAATCATCTTTATAATTTTAAACCTAGATATAAAGCAATTTAATTTATCACCTCAAGGAAGTAATATTATAGTAAGTTTTTATATGAATACAAAGATATATGAATGAATATTTAATAAACATATTTTTTTTTCAAATACATCTAGATGACAAGAAGTGTTATCTCGAATGGAAAATGGAAACGCCAAAAAACTGGCTACCTGAAAAAATGAAGCAAATCCTTGAATCAACAAAAAGAATTAATAGATGGTTTGAGATAGAGTTTGTGTTTGTAGGATCTTTAATAATATCAACATCAATTTCTGGATTTGTACTAAATCACTCAGAACTACTGCATGAAGCAATTGAATCGTTTCTTAGAGGAATGATAGAGTTGTGTGCAATTGATACTTCAATTTCCACAATTCTTAAAATCGAATTAACAGTTTTTGACAACAAGGCCAGCAGTGTGCAAAGTTTGATGTCCCATAAAGATCAATTAGAGACAAGTCATCATTGTAAGTATTCCCTGTCTAAATTTTTATCGAAGTTGAATGTTTATCAAGGAGGAATACGTGGATATGGAAATGTCCACCTGTGAACGCTGCTCCCTAAAACCTTGTTTTCGAAAGTTTTCTTGATAGTATACGTAGAAGTATATTTAGTTCAATTTTGTCAAAATACCCTAAAAACATCCTTTATTGCCTTGCAAGACATTAACTCGTCTTCAATTAGAGCACAGCTGATAAAGTGAAATTAGGGAAAGGAAACATGAAGACCTATTTCGTTGACTGATTCGACCCGCAAAAAAATATTTTTTACAGGTAAAACGATAATTTAGATCTTTAATTATATTTGACCTGGAATCAATCAGACCTAGGAAATTGCAACAATACAAGATGCTGATTCTGATAACGATTCCATGCATTCATTATTGTTTCCTATGACACTTTTGTATTTCTGATATATGTTTTAGTAAATCATAAATCAAATTTGAGTGTTTAAGTTGATTCGTTGGTTATAAATTTGCAGCATATGCTGCTTTCACGCTACTCCTCTTAGATTCTATTTTCTAAAACTTTCATACATAGTGTGAATTTTTGTCATATGCATCTGACAAATATCTGACTTCGTGTATTGATGTAATTAGACACACTTTACAAATACTGTAAGATATATCAATTCTGTTTTGAAATAAAGATTTAAATCTATAACTTGATTTAATTCGATTTAAAATATTTGAATAAATCACGGATCTGATCACTTAATTTTTTACAAGCAGTGAGTTTTGCTGCAAATTTCTCTCATTTAGGAGAATTAGATAGAAAGCAACACACGTTTGTTAACAAAATAGAATTAAGATAACAAGACCTTTGCAGTAACATTTTAAATGGCATCTTTTATTTAATAAAAGTAGGAGAAATTAAAAAAAGATTAAGTTAAATTTTCTTGTTAACACTTCCTTAAAAAATATTTCTTTGAAAATCAAAATCATTTCTGTATTTGTAACACTAAAAATGTCATAAAATTATACAATATTTTCTTAAAATTTGACAAAAAGTATGAAGGAGTTGCTTAAAAAAAGTCATTAAACAGAATCCGAGACTATAATATTCCAAATACAATAATATAATCATTAAATAAAATTAACAATTAATTTTTTGTATTCTTTGAAAATCATGTACATAAAAAAGCATTGTCCTAAGTCAGGAATCTGATGTTCAGTAGTTGTCGTTTGTTGATGTGGTTCATAAGTGTTTCTCGTTTCTCGTTTTTTATATAGATTAGACCGTTGGTTTTCCCGTTTGAATGGTTTTACACTAGTAATTTTTGGGGCCCTTTATAGCTTACTGTTCGGTGTGAGCCAAGGTTCCGTCTTGAAGACCGTACTGTGACCTATAATGGTTTACTTTTATAAATTTTGACTTGGATGGAGAGTTGTCTCATTGGCACTCATACCACATCTTCTTATATCTATTGTCATGATTTTAGGTATACTCAATGAAGAAGGATGTAGTGATATCGAAAAGGCACAGACTCCTGACACTGAACGTGAAGATAGTTTCATATTAGAAGGAAAACAGAAAACGTTGCACAAAAAAGGTGAACGCAGAGCATCAATAGGTATTTCCATATATTAGTAATTTTTCAGTGTGTAAAACATACCAAGAAAAACAAATATTTGCCGTATACCATTTATTTACTCGGTGCAGTTCGATGTCTTTTCCATTAGGGAGATTCAGATGAGTCTTTTCTAATTTTGAAAATCATATGTGCAAAAAGTATATTTTCCTTAGACCACATGTTTACCTAAATGTAGCTGAATTTATCTCCATGATTTTTTGCTCTTTGGAATTTAATCATTTTCTATCAAACAGAAAACAATAAACATTTTCAGATTGTTTTCTTTTGTAACTCTAGACATGATAGAACTACAACAGCATATACTGATTTAGTAATTTTTCAGCAAGATATTATTGGTAAGTTATGTTGGTCAATATAAAATTAGCAGGTTTAGAATTTGTATTTGTGTTATGGCATAGTCATTATTGTTTTTGTAAAAGAAGCAAAGCATCTCTATGCTACATGTAAAATGTTATAGTTTTGTTTTCTATATTTACTATATACAAGATATGTTTTTTTCTGTTTCATAAAACAAGGATTTTTAGATGTCCCAAAAAGTCGAAGTCGCAGCCGCAGCCCAAGGCAAGAATTACAGGGAGACCAACACATCAATGAAGGTATGTTAAAGATTAGCCTGAATGGAACATAAATTTTGGCAAGTTTATATAAAAAGAGGAACAATACCCATACCACATAACAAGCTATAAAAGCCCCCGAAATCAAAGTAAGCTTCATGGGAAGTGTTTGATGGCAAAATGAATAAATCTTCTAGATGAAAAAGGGAGGGTGGTGTACTTCTCCCAAAAGAGTTCGCATTTCAAATATTTACCCTTGTCTATATTTTGGTTGCCGCAATACCAACACACATTCAAACATAATGATTTATAAAAAAAAAAAGAGCGGAAGACACCAATGGGACATTCAAAACTCATACGTCGAGGAAATACTGACAACGCCAGGGCTAAAACAAAACCATTCCACAAAACGAATGATTGAGCATCACAAATTTCGATAAAAAGCCAGGGTTGATCTTAAGTGCTCCGGAATGGATAGCAGATCAAAATTGGCCATATCAATTTAGCATAAAATATCAAATATCTGTGGAATTTTGCATTATACAAAAAAGAATATTTCTAATTTCTTAATTAAAAGTCAGCCAGGTCTCCAGTAAACATTATTTCAAGTTACGATATCTGCAGACAATTTTTTAGGTAAAATTTCATCAAATAATATTATATACATTTTGAATATCAAGACAAATCAGTTCTGATATTTTTTTTCGAAATAAATATAATTTACGTCTTAAATCTGTCATTTTGTAAAGATTGTATACTTCACTGAATAAGGCTCATTAAGTTAAAAAGTGAAGTTATGAAAAAAAGATATTATTGGAATATCATGTATATAACCCTTCAAATCACAAAACGTTAAAATGTTTCAACTCTTTCAAAATTACAATAGCAGATTATAATCAGAACACTTTTGTGTAGTAATGTTACTTGTGGTGTCACCGTGATGCCATTTACATGTCAACATTTATATTTCTCTTATGATGGTGACCAGTTATCTGTTTCTTGCATGAATAGGTATCTCTCGTTTCTCACTTCACGGAGTGTGATACGATAATGTAATACGAAAACTGCGTTGATTTGATTGGCTTATCCAGCATCATGAGACGATATTACGATATTTCCATTGGTTATTCGTTAGGTCATTGATAACTTTCAAAGGTTAAGACGAAGAACATTTCGTCCATCGCAAAGGGCATATATGATTTCTTCAAAAATATACAAAACGCTCACATTCTGTACTAGGAAATCTTCTTTTTGTCAAATTGTATTACATTCTGAAGCGAGCAAACAGTTTTAAAATATCTGATGTTATATTTTGATACCGTAAAAGGGCATATGACGTCATACTGGTATGTGCAAAAATTAGATCAACTATTCGCGGAATTTTTAATTTAACACAATGAGAAATTGGTTTAACATGTTTAACAACTCTCGAGAATTGGATATCGCTTCTGATACCAACTCTCGTTATTTAATTTAAATAGTAGTCATAAACTCTCTGAAGGATCCTTTAGTACTATATTGAAATTTAATAACTGGAGTTGACATCGAGCGATATCCAATTCTCACTCGTTATGAAAACTGTAAATATTAGATCTTAAATGACCATTTAACACATAAATTGTAGCAAAAATAAATATGAGCCAATTATTTACCTAAAAGATATTATAGTACAGCTAACATCAGTACAAAAATATTGAAGTGGAATAGTGAATAAAAACGCGGAATGATATGCAACTGTTGTATACTTGTTATTAGATTTGTGTTGAGTAACCCATATAACATATGAAAACAGTTGTATCAAAATTGGTTTATATCATCACCTCTGTCAAAAATAGAAATAACAAATATTTTATCGGATCTTATCTTATGACAGCTGTATGATAGCTATTGATTTATGTTGAAGAATTATACATGTATATACATGGTCAAAATTTATCGTTACTTCGATTTATCTACCACCAAAAATAGTTGGTCTTCGACAGATTTAGTTTTTTGAATTTTGAGTTTTCAAAGCTCCTCGAGTTCGTAATTGATTCTGTCGTCCAACTGTTCGAGTGCCCCTGATGAGTTTCGTATAGTCGAAGCGAGTGGTTGATGAATTAAATAACAACGGTATCTTAGATGAGTTTTCATTCGTTAATAAATTCAGAAAAAAACTATGTCAAAATATTTATGGCAAATAACCCTTTGGAATTTGCACGAAAAGCCTATTGTAAAAGGCAAGCGAAAGTTCATTTACATCAAATGACTTCCATGTACAAATTCTAAACAATATCTTCGAGTTCCATGCAAAAAATAACAAAGCGCAAAGAGTGTCAATTTAATTATCTATGCAACATAATGAAATTTGCAATGTGAAAATGCTACTTACTAATGATTTACAAATGGATTTTTTATTTCGTTTTATCTTTACATTTAAAAGTCTTTAGCGTGATAGGAAAAACAAATCATTGTTCCCTTGATCAAAATTGCAGAAGATGACACTTTGACAGTAATGAGCATCCGTGAAGATAATACTCTGCTAGCTATCCATGTTTATCATTTACAGACTTAACTTAATTATTCAAAATAAGGAGTGGATGAGTTGTGAATAGTCCTTAACAAAACAATGTCAAAACCATGAAGATTAACCAACCACATAGTTGACCACCAAACAATACACTTAATCAATAAAACTGTAATTAGCCAATAGTTTTCCATGTAAAAGGTCAACCATAAAGATCGTATTTTCAGTCATTATTTTGTATCTTATCTGATTATCAAGATCAAATTCTGTTGGATCTTGTCGGCGATAATCAAAAGTGAGAGGCCTATAATAAGGTTTGCCAGACGCACATTTCGTCCACGTTAGAATCATCAGGATTGATTTTGCAGGAGACAGTCAGTATACCAATGGATACTAACTGTGTACAACTACTGGTCAAATCGTTTTTGTACTCATATGAAGCAGAATTTATACAAAACCTTCTAAAACACTAAATGAAAAAGCCTCATGCAAAGCTTTTTAATCCACTTTCAGATATATTGATGATGTTCTGTCACTCAACAATTCTCATCCCAATGAGTGCTTTCTACTCATATATTCCAGTAAACTGCAGATTAAGACTACTACCAAAACTTCATATCTCGATCTTTTCCACGATGTTGACATAATGGGACAACTGTAAACTAGAGTATATGATTACTTTTAAATTGCCAACTTCCCATTTCTCAGCAGTCATATACCCTCTGCTCCATCGTATGGCGTCTACATGTCTCTATTAATTTGTTACGCTCGTGAAAGTTAAACTATATGGACTTCATGAACAGGGGTTTGCTCCTTACACAAAAACTGTTCCAACAGAATTATGAGGAAGAACGACTGTAATCGACACTAGATAAGTTTTACGGTCACTATCACGAATTGGTTGTCCGATACGACGTTTCGGTGTCTCAACTCACAAATGTCATGTTTTCGTAGTCTTAGATCGAAGGATACAAGTATACTCGTCTGATCTGTAATAAACCGAGTGTGCCCTCGTCCCAATTGTGACATTTTGACTGAGTGTGAATTCGCATGGCAGGTAATGCATGCATAACAGGAGACGCTTACCTTGTCGACACACTCTGTCTTCTCCTTTTGGAGTTCATGTGATTTCCTCAGTTTAATTGTTTTAACTTGATTGGTCTCTTTCAATCGATTTACGAGATATGAACATCAGTTGTTAATTTTTACACAGCAACAGAAAAAGTTCACTTTATTTAGATGTTAAAACAATTCTGTTCTACACTTCAATGTTTGTTTACTATATACATGATGAAAACTTTTATTAGGCAGTTCAACAAAAATCAATCGCAGAAGTCGAAGTGCTGGTAAGTCTTTAAAAAAAGCGAAAGATACGGGCAGTGATAGTAGTAATCTCGAGTCAAAGGGTTTTGGAAGTAGGAGTCAAGTATGGTCGTCAAAAGCAGAAATCCAACAGTCTGAACAAGATACATGTAGAACGGAGTCCTTATACAATCGAGCATCAGGTATAAATATACATTTTAAAGAGCAAAGGCGTTCAATTTGACATTTTCTGAAATATATAAAATGTATAATGTTATGGTTGAAAACAGACTTCGTTAAAAAATGCCATAAGGCAATTATAATTAGCCGTGCATATAATGTCTTGAACAAAAATGTTCTTTTAATCTGTAATTTTAACATGATGCAGGGAGAAAAAGAGTTGGCTTAATTCTTTCTTATACATCAAGCTCGTAAATTCTAAACTCATAAACTGTAACAAAAGGGGGAACAATATCGGCAGTAAGAAACGATGCTGAAATGATCAATCTCGAATTGTGGTAATTGGTATCGAAACAAGCTAAGTTTATGCTTGCTTTTTAACATTTTAGCATATCTTTTATATTGAAAAATGCATTCAGAAGATTAGTTTACTACAAGCTTAACAACGTTTTATCAAAAATACCGAATTCCAAGGTAAATTAAAAAAAGGGAATTCCATAAAACATGACCAAATCAAACGATCGACTAAATCAACCATCAGAACGACTGGAAACAAACTGTCATATTCCTGACGAAGAAACTGACGAGTTAAACCTGGTTGTATAGCTAGATAAACCTCCCACTTGTATGACAGTTAATTAAAGTTCAGTTATATTGCCAAAATAAGATCAGCAACACATACCGACATAATTGGTAACCAGCAGCCAAAACTGTGTAAGCATACATCACAGTGACGTTAAAAAAATTAAAGACTTGAACAGATCTCCAGTTTCATTCTGGGAACATTTTACATGGATTCTTCAAGTCTGCTACGTTGTGAATATTTACTCTGGATACCGCCGACTCTATTACAATGATCTCATATCAGGTGAAAGCTTACTTCAGTGCTATTTTCATGATCAGTATAATTTCGTTTTGAAAAGAAATCAATCGATTCAATGTCATCTATACCGACTGCAATTTTTTTGGGAAATTGCATCTTAAATAAGAGTCATGGTACTGAAACTACACGTGTATAAAGTAAAATAACGCGTTACATTTCGTAATTTTACATGTATAAATGATCTGCAAATTCTAATTCGAAAGGCTCGGTATATTAGATTTTGTGCATTATATCGATTCCGACTGATTTTATTATTACGAGTCATTATTAGTAGTGGTATGTAGGAAAACAATATATTTATAATAATAATAATTTTGACTCAATAAATTTAGCCGAATTTGCCTGGACAATTATCATGTTTTATGGATTTACAGTGGGATATCCAGTAAACGATGACAAAAGAAAATTCACTCTTTTTATGATAGAGTCGAGAAAGTCAATAATAAAACAATGCCGGTGACGATTCTGATCAAAAGTTATTTCCAAATAATAATTGTTCATTTTAAATAAGTTAATTGTTAAACTGTGTTATAAGAAATATACATGCAAATACACGATGTTTTATGTTCAGTATTTCTCGAGATAATTGCATTAGAAGCTTGTGAAACTGAAATTTTAAAACTGGCAATCTTAACTGCATATTGATAAAAAAAATTGGAAAAAATCATGAACATACAAAATCTAAAGATCTTTCGGGTCACGAATTTTCGGAGTGTTTCGCAAAGTCCTTGGCATGTTACAAGTTCCCAAAATATACTTATTTTTTCAAACCTAAGTTATCGAGCACACCGGTCTGCTCTTGTCACTTGTATATTCAATAGAGAAATATTGTCTTTTTGTGAATATGAAAATATAAAAGTTATCTGTGCAGGTTAAGAAATTAAAAATAACTTATTTTATAAAGTAGGTATCTTTCTACTATTTTTTATACAATTTTAAGAAAAGGTCGTCTCGATTTTTGTACATGTATTTGCGGTCTTCTCGATGTATTCACATTCAATGCTTACTTCGAGATAAGGACCGTTTGAATTTGCTTAGTAACTTAATTTCAAAAGTGCCAATCTTTGCTGCATATCAATCGATTCTTTTGGAATTTTTTCCCTGACTTTCTCTCTTTTAGCTGTATCTATATTCGGATAATTAGCATGTTCCAGAAAGGTATACAGCCAGTAGAAAAAAAATTGAAGTTGGTACTTCAGGAATTTATTTGCATAGCAACATTTTAAACCAATTTTACCTCAAGCTTCTATAGTCTGCTGTACTCGTCGTTTCTTACTTAAGGAGGGAAATGATAACATTGAATGGAAGTTTTGTTTTTATTTCAACTTATTTCTATTTTTACTATTTACCAGAACGTTTTCCCGTGAATTCATAATTGATAGCGTCCTTGCTAAAATGGGACAAACATTGAGAAGATTTAGTTTTCAATATTTAAAGGGGATAGAATTTTGGAAGATTGAGTAAATGATAACTAAATAATTTGATTTACCCAATAATATGTTGCATCTTTGTTAAATTAATTTGTATGTTTGTATGAATTGTTGAGTCAGTTGTGTTGTATGTCTGTGATGTATGTTTACACAGTTTTGGCTGCTGGATCCCAATTATTGTCACATTAACCTGTTATGTCTGTTTGGGTTGCTCACCCAATTTTGTCAATATAACGGAACTTAAAACAACTGTTATACTAGTCATAGGTTAGCTAGCTATAAAACCAGTTAAACACACCATTTTCTCCGAAAAATGCCGGTACCAAGTCAGGAATATGACAGTTGTTTTTCACTCGTTTTGGTAAGTTGATAAAGTTTGATTTTGTAAGTTTTTATGGTCTCTACCTTTTATAAATTTAAAAATGGAGCTCGGTACTTTTGTTATACTTTTTTATTCAGATTTTGTTGGGAGAATTTCATGCCTTTTTGTACTTTATTACCTCACAGTAAATCTTGGAAGGGTCATATGGTTATCGAGTGCATCTCCTTTCACCTTTACCCAACATGTTTGCCTTTTTCCTAGAAGTCAACACTTTCCGGCCTAGATACAAGTCGGCACATCTAGCTGTTGTATCTTTCAATTTGTTTTCGCCCAGAAGAGAGGCAAACAATACCAGAGTGATAATTAAACTCATAAGTCGAAAAACGAATTGACAATGGAATGGCAAACACGAAAAACGATCAAAAGACAAAACACAGTAAACAAAACACAACATAGAAAAACTAAAGACTAAGCAACGATAACACCACCAAAATCCTAGATTGATCTCAGGTGCTCCAGAAGCGTAAGCAGTTTTTGCTTCACATGTGGCAAAATATGTTCAAAATATATCCAAGGGGACATTAAGGAAAAAACTCAAATCTAGCAAATGTTTAAATGTGAAGCCACTATTATATGGGAATTCAGCTCCGTTTGACATTCATTTAATTTGAAAAAGGAATTTAGTCTGACTAATATCTTGTGTGATTCTGTTTTATTTCTGTATTATAATTGACAAATATAATTCAAAGAAATAACTAGAATTATATTTTTTTAACATTTTGATAAATAAAAAACGAATGAGGATGTACGTGTACCCAGTAAAACTGGATTAGTAAAAACTCAAATAAATCTGCACCCTCTAGCTGTCTATGACCTTTCGGTGTTTGAGTAATCCGGTTAAAATGTAAACAATATAACTCATAATACCTCGATAGTGGAGCAGCTACATTTGGTGAGTACAAAGAGATCTAAAAGACAAGGTTTACTTTGAAAAACAAATGATTACCTAGATATGAAAACAAAATCGATGCGACAACACTATTCCCATCGGCATCGAGGAAAATGTGAAGGTTCATAATTTAATCACATTTCTGTTACTCGGGACGAACTCGACAAATCTAAACTCTATTAGTAGCTGATAGTATATTCGTAAGATATCTGGACAATATTTACAAACGCGACACAAAAGGTATTTACAATTTACTTATTAAATACATTGGAAGTACGAACAAGCTAAGGAAAATCCATAGCCAGTCAGAAATGATAAAATAATCACTTCTTAATTATTACACATAATAATTGAACCCAATGAAATTGAAAGTCGACAGTTAGATGCTTTCTCATGCAGTATTTATTATGTCATTATAATTGGGGATTTTTTTCTATATTTATTTCTTGAAAAATTGGTTTGTATCAGCTATACTTACATGTATCCCTTGATAAACCGTGTTGATCTGACATCTTTTGTAACTAACAAGTTAATCATAAAGTCAGAGATTTCGTTGCATAGATACAGAGATTTTAGTTTGGAAGTAGGGATGTACCTGTAAAAACCTTATGACAAACGGTATACAACATCTTAATTTTCACAGTGATATTGTTTATAGATCCATTGAGACTTATTGATGCTTTGAAAGAACGTATTCGTAAAAGTTATCAATTTTACACGGTGGTAAGATCCTTTAAAACTGTCGTTTTTTGGTACTAACACATATCATATGTAGTCATCAATAAATACGCATTGCTATATAGTAATGAACATTTATGGTCTTGCATCTTGTTGATACTTATATGTAGACAGTTGCCCAGGGTCCCTTTTACTTTATTCGTTGGATCTGTATTAGTTTATGTCTTATTTTGGGAAAAACAGATTTATTTATGAGTTGTAATTGGCTTTCAAAAATGTACTTCTTCTAAGACGTTTTCGTGTGATGTGTATAACTTTTACCAGTGCGAAGCGCATGAAACTCACATTCTTACCCTTAACAGTTCAATGTCAAGATTTAACTAATATTATTACATTGGTTACAATTAAATACTGTGAATGTCCCTGTCAGATAAAAACCCGATATTTAAATATGAAACAAATCCTTCATCTATACTCCTTTGGCATCATAAAACAATAGGTATTGTCACACTTTGGTCCGCAAAGGTGCATCAAAGTAGAAGTGAAAACATGTATTTTAAATCTATTTACATTAAAAGTAATTGCAATAGAAAGAAATAAAAGATCCAAGAGTTTAGCATGTTTAGACATCTAAAAATAATCAAATCATGAACGAAAACACCGATAATTCACTCGTGCGGCGAATTAGTGAATGAATACATTATTTTTTCGGTTACTCGCCAAATTATTTTCGGCATTCAAATTCAAGGACTTGTTATTCTGTACATATTTCATTATTAATGGTGTCAAAAAACCAACAAAGAATTGAATCATTTTTCCAATTCTGATGAAACAAAAATTGTGGTAGTTTATATGCTTTTCATTTAAGTATCATTGTCAGTAGACATCATGTATAATACTTGTACATTTATACACATTTCGTCCTATATACATGTATGCAGAAGACTAATATTGACTTCTTCATTCAGATCCCGACCCACATATAACAGAAATGAGTGAAACATATTTCAATCGCTTATGCGTTCTTCTAGTGGTTATGGCACAGGATGTTAGCAGAAAATATTTTTCCGTGAACATATTGAAATCTGAAAGTCTTAGTAATTATCTTGAGCGATACAAACACACTTTGTTTCATCTCTATTCGAATATGAAATGTTGTGTCTTTAAATGTAACAATGAGCAATCAAAAATATTTTCGAAAGAGCAATTTGACATGTTATATGAAAATGACAGAACCAAGATTAAATCATCGCACATCAACAAGAGTTGCGGTAGAACCGAACAGACATGTATCTGTGGAATACAACCCAAGGAAGGTATTGATGTTGATATGTTAGATGTGACTTTGATTGCATCAATTACTTTAACCTGTGAAAAAGATACAAAGGCATTTGAAAGGCACTGCATAGAAACATGCTTTGGAACAATAGCAGGAACAAGAAATAAGGTTTTTCACTTTTCTGATATAAAGAAAATGTCAGTTGATGTATTTGAATATTATTGGCTTAAAGTTTCCGGGTCTGTTGAGGTGATATGTAAGTTTATAAATACGGAATACCAACATGAAATTCAGAGAAGAATCCAGGAGCTCAAAAGTAAAGCTTTAGTGACATCTGATATGTTGAAACAGGAAGAACTGTGCAGAGCAGAATGGAGACACAAATGTGCAGAATTTGAGGTAAGTCAAATAGCAAACATAAAGCATTAACAGTTTTGTTCCGAATTGATCTTGAAAATAAAATAATTAACGATATGATAGATTTAAATTGCAACTATCTTGTTAAAAAGAGCAAATGTACAAATATGAAAGGATCGAGATTCATAAATGCAATTTCACACAGAAAAGGAATAATAAAACGGATTTTTAGTCTTTTATTATCTATGAATCCGGTTTATCTGGTCCCAATGTTCACATAAATGTTTTTGTTGTCCACTTGTTTTGATTCGAGCGCTACTGGTGAGTCTTATGTAGAAGAAAAGTGCGTCTGGCGTACTTAACTATAAACCTCTTATCTTTGTGTAGTTGCTTCAGGGAGGTGTATACTCTTTATCATTTAAAATCTATAAAGTGCTGTTTTCATATTTTACAGCACTTGGTCGATACCGCTGCTGGTAGACTATCACAGCACGGGGTATCATCTCCTCATTGGTCAGTACTTCGGTACTGATATAATTTATAACAAACTTTTCTAAAATTGACCGATTATAAATTTATAAATAATGAAGAAACTAAGTTGTCAGCTCCCTCACGCAAGAATTGGGGAGGCATACCCTGTCGATGCAACCGCTCTTGCTCCTTTAGGAGTCCATGCGATTGCATAAGTTTTGGTTTACTACCTTGTTTTGTATCTTCTAAATATTACATTTTGTATACGAAACCCACGTCTGGTGTTTACAATAATAGCCTGGTATTTTTTTTATTAACTCTTTTAACAAGAGGGCATCTTACCAATTTTTAAAAAATGCTAATGTGCTTTTAAAATACTAGTATATGTTTTAAGTACATTCGCCAGATAAACTAAATGTAAAATATTAATTATAGGTCAAATATTTCAAGTTCAACAGGTATATATATGACACAATTATGACACCAAGAATGATATTTCCAGACCTTCTCTTCCTATTTGCTTTATTAATTAAACTAGCATAATTATGAAAGATTTGAAGAAATTTTTTATGTTAGCAATATGATGGCTCATTACACGCGGAAATACTCATATGGTTCTAATACTTCCGCGCTAAGTAAAAACCGCGGCTGGTCGACAGTCAATGCCTGATGGTAGTATCCGCCTCATCAAGAATATGATAACATTTTCTGACTGCAATTTTCAATTGATGTATTTTTTAATATACTTCATACTCATATATATCAAAGTTAATTATACTAAAATTAAAGTTGCAACATTGGAACTAAATTCGAACTCGAGTGACAGGTTTTGAGAAATAATATGAAACCATCCGCACTTTTCCTGAATAAAACTTTTAGATGAAGCCATGAGTGATTTTTTACGTCGAAGATGTGGCATGATTATCAAAAGAACGTAGAAATGGAAAAAAAAATTAGGTCCTCATACGACCTTCAACAATGAGTAAATTCAAAATTGTATAGTAGATGTGATACAAATCAAAAGAAAAGAAGATACGCTCTGATTATGCTTAACAATCAACAAAAACACACATGACAGGAAGGCACACATTACATGTAGCCTAGTGAACCATGTTTGTGATCTCTGATCCACCCTAACCTGGGACAATGGCGAAACAGCACACACTTTAAAATAAGTTGGAAAAGGCTTGACTTATTAGATCGACACTGTCTACATGATTTTCACTTCCCTCTTTTAATATATTAGTACTCTATTTAACTGCAGCTATGATAATATCATTTAATAATGTACAAATGCACAGAATTAATGTATGAAATAAAACAGCGGATTACAACTGACCGTGCTTCAAAAGATTATCTATTGTAAACTTGTTATTCCACAAAATTATCGTCATAAATATGTTTGAATCTTATTTTCTATGTGGTGAAATCTAAGTTGTCATCTTTACGAGATTTTGTGTAATTAACGTACATATAAAGGCTTTAAAAATTCGTCGAGATTCTACAATTTCTACTGACACATGTCGAATCAGACCATTATCTAGAAATAAATTATATTTCAATTTTGTCTATACATTTGTTGAACTCCTTCAAACTATTCCTATCTAGGTATGAGCATTAGCATTACCCGACAGATGTTTTTCACAATGTATATCTTATACAAAGTAACTGAAATATCAATTCAGAAATCTATTAGTAATATTCCATTTAACCAAATATCTCAATTAATGAACTGACACGTGTTGTCGATCGGCTATGTGCTCTTCAATCTTTTGTTTTCTTTTAAATTATTGGAACTGGCTTTTGGTTATAAGTTTTCAGTTTTAGCCTTAAAGACCACACATTTATTCTGTTCTTTATTATTTCCGCCTCATATAAATAAAAGACCAAGTCGGCGAGAATATGACCAAGTTATCTATAGGAAAATATCTAATGTCTTTTGAAAAATAGGTCCTCCAAACGTAAAATAATATATTGTAAGTAAAACAATCATGCCTCTTTTATTTGTCATTTTCAGAAAACGTTGTGCGATTTGCTCCTTACTACAACAGCATCTACGTTAGGCATACGTTTTTATGTAACAAAGCTGCATTAATTCTTGCGATCGGTCTTTAGGTTCGATTTGCAATATTTGCGTAGTGTTTTTTTAAAATACAGCAAGAGGAGAGAGAAATGGGTTGCATGAACTCTTTACAGATCTTTTGATTTGTTTATATCCCTATCACTTTCACATCGCTAATATAGTATGTACTTTCACAGTAACTCTAAAGCCCGGTTGTAGTTGCTGATAAATTAAGGCAACAGAAGTTTTCCGATGTACAATCTCATAAATTGATTAAGTAGACAAATCAAGGAAACAAAACAAATCTGTGGGAATAGCTAACAACACGCAGTCAAAATGTCACTATCGGGAGGACACAATCGGGAAAAGGTAGATTATATGACTATTTTGGTATCTAAAGATCTGAATGCCAAAAAAAAACTGATGTTTATATTTTCGAAAGAGGTTTCGTGTAACAGCCTCAATTGTACAAAGTTGTCTGTAATTTGGGTATCCAGTTAGGCGACGGAAAATCCAGGTCAATGTCTACAGGAATAATGGTTCTGCTTACATTTCAGATTATAGCAAATGCTGAGCTTCTGGAAAACGAAGAGTTGTATGCAAACTTCATGACTGGTAAAGCATATCATGAAATATTCACAAAGATAGGTAAGTAGTGATCCATACAGACATAAGTAAATAATACTAGAGGCTCCTAATAGGATGAATTGATGCATTGCGCATGTACTAACGTTTAGTATGATTTTAAGTGACATCTGGTTGATGTTAATGAATAGTTTATGAACAGTATTATAGAGAAAAGTGCAAAGTTTGTCGATGGAGTTCCAAAATAATTTTTCATTGAGGGTTCAGATTTGCCCAATTTAAATTTAAGATTGATGAAAATTGACCTGTTTCTCTTTAATTTCTCCTGATGAAATTGAAAAGAAAAACAAAGATGTTTATTTTCAAACACTATCATTGGGCCGATTTGGATTAGGAACCTTGTCCAAATATCCTTAAAATGATCAGGAAATATCATGCAAAGTTAGTGTAGTACGAACAAAAATTCATAATTGATACGAAATTGATGACGGTTTCTGAATAATACAATAGTAACGACACATCATAATTATTACTGTCAGAATAATGGAAACGAGGAACAGTTGCACGAAAAGAAGAGAGAAGAAAGATACAAAAGGGATAATCAAACTCACAAGTCGAAAACGAACTGACAACGCCATTGCAAAAATATAATATAAACAACTGCACATAAAACACAACATCAAAAACTAAAGACTGAGCAACACGAACCCCATGAAAAACTGGGAGTGATCTTAGGCACTCGGAAGGGTAAGCAAGTCCTGCAAGTACAAAAAAAAGTATAACAAAATTACCGAGTACCAAGGCAAATTCAAAACGGGGAAGTCCTTAAAACTGAAAAAAAATGAAACGCTATCAATCAAAAGAATAAGGGAATAACAACTGGCATATTCCTGACTTTGTAAGGCATTTCCCGAAGTTAATGGTGGATTAAACCTGCTTTAATAGCTAGAAAAAAAACTCCCACTTATATGACAGTTGTTTATAGTTCCATTATAACGACAAAATTGGTTGAGCAAACTCGGTGATAAGTCTAATTCGGTAGCTCACTCTTGAGGTAAAGAGGACGGAATTATGGTTACTGCAATGAGATAAAATTGAGCATGGAAATGTGGAAAGTGTCAAAGAGACAACCCGAACAAAGAGCTGAATACAGCCCAATATAAAAATAAGGAGATGTGGTATGATTGCCAATTAGACAACTATCCACCAAAGTTCAAACTTATACATCCCAAAAACAAAAATACACTAAGTACAGATATGAAAGTACTCGCAGTTACTGACAGCTAGTTCAAAGGCCACCAATGGGTCTTCAACACTGCGAGAAAATCTCGCACCCGGAGGCGGGCTTCGGGTAGCAATACACAGTTAGGAGTGAAGTTTCGCATTTTGGCCTGGTGGATTTTTTTAGATATGAAAGTTATTGTGCAATAACATTCATTTTTAGACAGCTGAAGTCTTATTTAGCCTTCAAAGTTGGTTTATAAGAACATCAAGATTATTTTTTTACATTTTCTTGGGCTATTTTCTTTTTGACTGTCCGTATTATATGATTTTTATTTGATCTCTTGATAGATATATGTAAACAGTTTCAGAAAAAGTATCACTCCAAGGGATTGATATTCTAGTTTAGGCCAAATTTTAGGGAAATATGTGAAATGTGTATAAATACCCCCCTTTTTGCAATATTTTATAAGGTGTGGCTAGCCATAAAACCAGGTTAAACCCACCATTTTTTCTTAAAATGTCCTGTATTAAGTCAGGAATATGGCAGTTGTTATCAAATAGTTCGTTTCTATGAATGTTGGCGTGTTTTTTTTTTGTTGCACTTCAGTGTTTCTGTTGTTCCATTGTTTTCCTCTCATAGTTGATGTGTTTCCCTCGGTTTTAGTTTGTAACCCGGATTTGTTTTCTCTCAATCGATTTATGTCTTTGGAACAGCGGTAAACTACTGTTGCCTTTATTTATAGTAAACAAATGCAGATTGTTGCCATGGATACACCAAAATGAAATTATATTCAACCATTTTAACTACTGGATATCAAATCTATGAAAGATACTGATTACATACGTATGCACAAACATGACACAAACAGTAAGCTAAATTTGTAAGAAAGCCAGGAAAAGGGGATGGTCAAATTTATGAAGGTAAATTTTAATTTGTTTTCCTAACTGTATATTGCTACCTTAGCTGGCCCCTAAACAAAAATGTGTGCTAGTTCAGTGAAAATGGACGTCCCACTAAACTCCGAAACTTATAAATGAACTAAAATTAAAAACAAATATACACGACTTACAAAGGCCAGAGGCTCCTGACTTTGGAAAGGCGCAAACATGCGGCGGGGTTTAACATGTTTTATGAGATCTCAACCACCCCTATACCTCTAGTCAATGTAGAATAAACAAGCACACAACAATATGCACATTAAAACTCAGTTAAAAAGAACTCCGAGTCCGATGTCAGAATAGGTAACAGAAGATCTAAGCAAAATGACAATGCTACATAAATTAACAAAGGACAACTAGCATGCCAGCTCCAGACCTCAATTAAACTGATTAATAAATTATGTCTTCATAAGAACATATCCGTCGTCATCTGTGAACAGATATTCCATAACGGTCAACCAATTGGTGATTAGACCAATTTTTGCAAATATTAATCACATGGATACATGCATTCACGTTACTACAATAACATTTAAAAGATCCAATTTTACTGAATCAGATGCATATTTCGATACATGATGTATATTAGCTGATGCTGATGGACAACATATTTCTAAATCCAAACCTAATAAAAACGTCAGAGAGCTGCATTAAATTTTTTTCTCTCGAAAAGCCGGTTTGTAATGTTTTAAGCAAGTACATGCAAACAGATCTTAAAATTGAATCGTTCTTTCAGTATTCTCCAAATGCGATTAATGTTAGATCTAAGGTTCAGTTACAAACTTTAGTCAACACTTATTGTTAATTTATTATGAATTAGGTAGGTGCAATGCTTTTAGGTGGACTTTATTAAAGTAATTAGAAGGATTCTAATGTTTAAAGTCTGTTATATTCGGCATCATATTGCAAAATGTTGAGCGCTTTGCTAATTTGCTTAGCGGTCATATTGTCTTATCATGACGACGGTCATTTCAATAGGTTTATGCATATCCCTAAAAATAAATATATACAAATAAAATGCCTAAGTCACATCAACAATTTATCCGCATATAGGTGAATTGTAAATGTTATTTGCCTTCTGTTCTTGCATGTACACATGAACCTTGTTAATTTTGAAAACTTTCGTCCATTTCAAATCGAAAAACGGATCCGTAACAGTTGTATAATTACTATATAGTATACCTTACATTCGTTTAAAAGCAAGATTCCAAATAGAAATTAAGATATTAAAAAGATATTTTTAATGATTTATCCGCGTATAACGGAACACCCTAAAGGTTGAATTTTCGTGTGGAATAACTTTTATCTTAACTGTTTTCTTTTGTTTTCTGTCAAATTCTTTTGAAAACCTGATGATTTATATACCTGATGATGAAATATCCGCCAATGGAAGTTTTTAAAGACACGTTAGTTTTAGATCCAAGCCGGAAAAAGACTTGATTATCCACAAATTTGATTTAATTTACATTTTCAATCTACAACTAAAGAGAATTAATTCAAACAAAAGGTCCAAAATCACGTGGTGCTAATCCTACGAATAAAGTACCTAGGATTTTGTATATGATAGCTTGAGTACTTGAATACATGTATATAAAATTTCCGTTTCTCTTTAAAGATCGCCTAAACTCTGACATTGAAAAAACACAGATACATTTTTATGGCAGTGATAAAGTTTCTCATATGTTGGACTCAGCTGATCCAGAAAACTATTCAGGTATTCATTTACATTTTCAGAAAAATGTTTATAATGACTTCAGTAACCAACATTTTTGAAGAAGAATCATTATTACATGACTTTAATCAATTATTTTCAACGAAAGTTAGAAAATACGAAAGTGTTACAAATTAATGACAGTTCCAGGAATACATACACAATTGATGGGAATAAAATAATTCACAATCAAAAGTACTCTAAACGGGTAGAGTGATATGGCATGTAAACAAAGCAAGTATCCTTCGATATCCATGTACTATTTGTCATATGACTCCAAGGTAACATTTAGACAGTTGAATAACTGGTTCCGAAAAGTGAAGGTTATGTTTTGGTATATATATGTACAGGTAATAATGAAGAAACTCTTCCGTAAAGCTTATTTATCAAATAATTACGTATATTCTTCCGACACGTTTGTAATCTCAAAACTTTGATATGTGTGTCTTTGACGTCGTTCTAATTGCAGAATTTAGTTGTAATTTTTCAGGGTTATGACTAGTACTGTATACCGAATTCGCAGAGTACCTTAGGATATCTTTTAATTCTATAAAGCGCAGTTTTGTCTAAACTTCATGTAAACCAAAGAAACTCCAACTACCAGATATTTAGATTGATCAGTTAATAAAATATGGATCCACGTATTTACAGTGACGTCACTGATTTCGATGAACAAATTGTTTACTCATAAAAGCTTTTAAATTCAGAAATGTTTTGGATATTTTATTATTACGAAAATTGCGACAGAATATGATTCGCGAAAATAAAAACTCGCATTTTGAATAACGATAGGATTATTTATATGCAGCAAATCTTGAAATCGCAAGAATGAATCTCGCATTTATGTCCATTGTTTAAAAATCGCTTTGATACATAAATGCAAAAATTTCTGAATTTACAGTATTCTTTTCGTTTATAAATAGGGCCGAAGATATTAAATTTTGTCAAAACGTTAACTTAATTTTATAGGATTTATTTGTAGCAAAAGCGTCTATGATATTGTGATAATTTGTATAAAAAAAAGAAACGAGAGGTACTGTTAGCAGAGCTCGTACATTGAAACACCGCTGTTTATACCCACAAATGCATCATGTCATGAAGAATCTTCAAAAGTTTGATTTGAATTCATTCAAAAGTTAAGGAGGAGTTGCGGATGGGAGATGTTATAATCATAATATGAAAGGGAAAAGTCCGTGTTTTTTTCAATGGGAAACCCCGGAAATCGTTCTGAGCAAAATGCAAAATAGGATGAACAAAATGACATTGTGTTATTAAGAATCCTTGAAAGTAAGTAGTATAAAAGGAGAATTTTTGGTCTTTCCCTCTCGGAACCGATTGATTGATTAATTGGTTGGTATTTAACGCCACTTTTAACACTATTGTGCTATTTCGTGGCGGTCGGCTTTTATCCGTTGAGGAAGCCGGAGTGCCCGGAGAGAACCACCGACCATCGGTAGGAAAACAGACAATCCTAGTCAATTAAGATTGGAGTCGAGTGCACCTGCCCCTTGCGGGATTCGAACTCACAACCTCAGAGTTGACAGGTTAGTGATACAGTAGTCCGAATACTAAGACTACTCGGCCACCGAGGCCCCCTTTCGGAACCGAGTTTTGTAACAAGATGGAATGAGGTGGTAAAAAAGACTGACGCAATAACCGAAACTAAGAAAGAGGGAGAAGAAGGGACCCCCTTCCCCCTTAAAAAAACAACAAAAAAAACAAAAAAAAAACATAAAAAAATACAAAGTTTATAATTCATGAATACCAATAAACTACAATACTCACATGCCTGCATCAAAGCGATAGAATCAACAAATACAATAAAGGGGATAAGCAAAAGATGATGGCATTTTTATGATCCTTCAAGTGTAATAACTACAAATCGAACAGATAATGACTTTTGTTACTTTATTTCACCTATGAAGATTGTAAATTAAGGTATCAATTACTTTACGATACTACATTTATTGCCAAGTGTGTGTAAAAGTAGCCTATCTATCCTGATAAGGATTAAATGATGTAAATAGAATAATTTAAATTTAACAAATGAAGTATCGATCTCTGAAATTAAATCTTGTTTAGACATGTTACGAACAATTCAAATATATTGATAGAAATAAAATATATCACGATCGGGATTGAAGCGTGAAATATACTGATTATTGTAATAATTGCCACTGGACTTACAAGACGTGTGCAAAGAATCTGATACTAACATGATTGAATGATTATATATCATCAATATCAATTTTATATCGATCTTAACATCTATAGAACTAAAAAATCTCTCTCACGCTTTCTTTGTCTTTTGATTTCTATCTTCTTTTTCTTTATTTTAATGAGGCACTACGTATTTATCCGTTCCTTTTTTTTTTATTGAAACTGAGCAATGATTTTTCTATTGTTGTCCTGCAAGTCATCTGTCGAAAAGTCATTTATAATAACCGACATCTCAACACCTCTCCATCTCTTTTTTACGTAATAAGCACAATACAGTCAACACGTTTCCGAATCACTGGGTTGTATTTGACAAGGGGAATAACAATTCTGTGATCCAATTTCGATCAAGACGTTTCTAAAGCGACGGTGATACACCTCCGGTGGTTGTCCCAGGGAATCGAAAAATTCGGCCGGACCCGATACCGGGAAATAAAAGGCAACCTAATGACTCCACTTTTTGTCAGAATTGTCCGTATTGATCACGAACGTTTCGGGTCTATTTATCATATCACGTATGCTGGTAAGTTGTCTGCACAGACAACGGTGACTGACACACAATTCAAGACATCTTCGATAGCCTTTCCCGACAGTGGAAGCTCGATTGATTTGTTAATCCCACAACCTTTTTGTATGTGTTCGTTGAAGTATAGGAGATGTACAAAGACCAGCCCACAGGTCCGATAAGCTTCAAGATCCTCTCCGTCATTCATCGGGTCAAAGCAATCTCTAACTGGCGTGTATTGATTCGATATGTCGGATGAGTCCAAAAAGTCTTCAAACTTCATGCCTTCGTCTCGAGTCGTGGATGTGGTAGGGGTATCGAGTCTTTTACCTATTAGCAAAACATTACTACGCTGCATTCTCAACGATGTCAGGGTTCTCACTTTCAGATCAACCAAGAAAATTCCGAACGGTTTCTGTGTAACCTTTTCAAATTTCCGCAAAATGAAATCTGGTCGAGACGGGTACATCTGTCGCCCAGAGTTATGATTGGTAGTTGATCTATGGGATTGTTTAAGAGTATAAGATAATGACAGTTTCGCCTCTGCGTAGGGTCTTTACCAAAATACAAGTTTTGATTTAATACCACTGCCGATAAATCTCTATGATGGCTTCCTTTCGTAAACAAATCGTTAATTCGGGAATCTCTGGCCAAGGTCAACATCAGATCGTCCAGTACGATCATGTTTCTCGTTCCGGGAATGCAAACGTCGTCATTTTCAAGATCGATAGGAATACCGCGGACGATCTCAACGCGCGGAATCACCGTTATCTGTTTTTCCCCGTAGAGAGGTTGCCATCTTCTTGTACAGCCATACGATTCTTTCTGGACGGGGACTGCACAATCTTCTTCCTGCGTGCTTCAGTAGGTCTTATGTCATGCCATAGGAGTATTGTCTCATGCTTTTATTGTTCTGTATCATAAAAATTTAAATTCCTATAGAAATAACAAAAATTAAATCGCAAATGAGACAACTTTCCACCGGAGACCGAATGACGTAGAAGGTTAGCATTAATAGGTCACCGTGCGGCCCTCAACATGAAAAAAACCCAATACCGCATAGCAATCTATAAAAGGATTCGAAACACAATGATGAACAACGAAACGATGTATTCCTGATTTAAATACAAAGCAATAAACGCAAAGCAAATATAATACACGGCAAAAAAAAGACAACCACTTAACTACGAGCTCTAGACTTGGGACAGGCACATACAGAATGTGGTAGGGTTAAAAATGTTTTTTGGGTGCGCAAACCTTCCCCTTAACCTGGGACAGTGGTGTAACAGCATAACATAAAATACAAAAGACACAAAGTACTGATCTGAGAGTATTCGCAGTAAAGACTAGCAGTGGAAGCTACTAGCTTCAGTTCAAAACTAATAACAACTAATAAGAAAATCATGTATCTAAGAATAAAATATCAATCAGTACATTCCAAAGGATTTAGTGTAAATACGTCATTAAGAGTCAGAGAATAACACGACCTAGTGCAATGTCAACAAATAGATAGGACCGTGAATGTACAGATGTGTTTAACTATAATATTTAGTTGGGAGACTTTTTGATTCTGAGCGGGGAGTAGTTTAAGTTTCACTTTTTGGTAAAGCAGAAAATAAATATTCTGCCCTGCGCTTTTAAGTGGTTGTCCCGTGACGTCTTTTTACTTTTGCCGTGGTATTATCAGTTTTTCTCGAAAAATGAGTTTTAATGTCTCACGGGTATGGTCCGCCTATTTTTTTAACAAGCTCTTAAAAATAGAATTACAAATAACTGCAGACTTTTCAATAGATTTTTTCTGACGCAAAAAGAAAGGATGTCATTATTCAAATTGATGTGTTAGAAAAGGTTTGCTTGACAAATTATATTTCAATAAATCAGTTGGTACTGATATCGGTACATGTGATATGATATTTCTCGACTAGAAGTTAAAAATTTATTTTTATTACGGAAGACTTGCCCAGCCTTTAAATACATACTTAAAATTCAACTGTCAAGAGTGGAGAAGTATCGTTTTGTACGATTTTCAGTGGTGGAATCTGTTTCTCTGATAATTTTTAGAAAAAATATATAGACAAACTTTTTCCTTCTTTTTCCATGATCTGTAGAGAGATGTGCTCCTTCTATGTGACGTCATCAGACATAGTCGCCTTTTTTTCATGACGTCACAAAAGCAAATTCAAAGGAAAGCAAGAACATTTGATGTCATAATTGAATTTAAATCAATAAAGAACTGAGATCAGACGAACCACAATGGATTACTAGTAGAAAAAAAATACCCGGTAGGGGAAAGAATAAATCGGTTAAGAAAAAATTTACATATATTTGTGCAACGGTCCAATATGTAATAAATTTGCTGGTAGATTTTTTTCTATTGACTCTAATATATATGAGAGTCTATAGAAGTTTGTCGAGAGAAATATTGCGTGATTTTGTATCGAGTTTCATGATTTTATAACAGTCATTTGCGTGTTACATTTTTGGCAGTAATATATAATTGTCATTTTGATTTTTTTCATGAGTTGTTATTGGCTTTGAACTAGCTGTCAGTAACTGCGAGTACTCTCAGATCTGTACTTGGTGTCTTTTTGTTTTTGGGATGTATAAGTACCCGTCCACGTCTACTTTGTGTTTTTTTTTTTATATGTATTTCTGTTTGTATCCATCTGATGAGTAAAGCTTTTTTCAACTGATTTTTATAGTTTGTTCTTATGTTGTACTGTTACACCACTGTCCCAGGTTAGGGGGGGGGGGGGGGGTTGAGCGCTTACAAACATGTTTACCCCCGCCACATTCTTTATGTGCCTGTCCCAAGTCAGGAGCCTGTAGTTTAGTGGTTGTCGTTGGTTCATGTTTGTCATATTTGTTTATTCGTAAACTGTTTTGTTATAAATTAGGCAGTTAGTTTTCTTAATTGAATTGTTTCATATTTTTCATGTCGGGGCCTTTTATAGCCGACCATACGGTATTGGTTTTTCTCATTGTTGAAGGCCGTACGGTTGCCTATATTTGCTGACATCCACTTCACTTGAACTTCGGTAGATAGTTGTCTCATTGGCAATCATACCACATCTCCTTATTTTTATATTAGAGATTTTACTTAGTGAAGTTCATTCAGGTTTATTTTATTTATTGTTTTCTTTTTTTGATAATTATATCACACTAGGACAAAAAGATTGGATTTGGCTTTGCAAAATTAAAATTTCACTTAAATAATTGTAACATTTTGTAAATTTTAGGAAAGACGTTTGTCCCTGTCTTACTTTTACTTGAAGTTCCAGAAAAATGGGATAAACAGAGGATAATGGATTCTACATACAAAATGAAAATTGCAATGAAACAAGACAAAAATATTGAGATTAAGTCATGTTCTGCAGAGGATCTAAACATTCTAGCCTATATCTTTTGGAAAATGTTTTCTGATATACAAAAGTTAAGACTTGAAATGCAGCTTTTCATTGGTTCAATCCTAACATTTGCGGGCATAAATACTACTAAGAAAGAAAGCATGCAAGTTTGTATGTTCATCAATGACCAACACAAACATTCACAACGTAGAAGAGGATCACACTGGATCAGATACCGTAACAAGAACATACCTATGTTCTGACTTACATCTTTAATTTGCCCTTTGCAGAATATCTCAAAGAAGATATGCTGTTTGTTTTTCTTCTTGGAAACAAATTTAGAGGAACAAAATGAGTACCCAAATTGCAATGAGTACCCAAATTGCACCCATTTAGGAAAATAGCAGCGGAAATCTTACAAGTTTTCTTAGAGAATTAACAATTTGTATTTTTATGATTTCGTTTGACATTATGTTTGTCTTTCAACATAGCTAAATATATTCAAATATACACAAAACGTTCACAGTTTATTATATTAACAGATGAAGTAGTTACTCCAAAAAGGAAATTCACAATGCGACGTCCACAAAAAGTCAACTTTTAAAAATTAGCAATTAAAATATGTTACAGGCATCCATTTCTTGAAAAAATAAATAACAAGCATGAACTATTGTCAAATTGTTCTAAACATTTGAAGAAATAAAACAAAAAAACCTTTGGAGAAATAAAACAAAACATCAGTTATTTTTACGGACATGAATTTAAGCATGCATGCAATTTGAGTCTTCTCATTACAGAATCATGGATCGTTTGAAGGTCAGTTCAAACCCATTTTTCTATAAATCAATATGGATTCAAAATTTAATTGGTGGAACTATATAGTAAATAAGGATACATCTACAAAATAAACAAAGATTAGAAACGTTTGTCTTGATCATAAATGCACGTAAGTGAAAAAACAGTCAAAATGGGTGCAATTTGGGTACCCTCACGTTAACCTCCAAATGAAATAATTTCACAAAAATTACCAACACATGTAACATAAAAATGAATATAAGATTGTCATCAACTTTTAAATACCCTCAACTTCCTTTTCTTTTCACAGGACAGCTTTGTAATATGTCTTTCTAGGATGCTAACTGGAATGGCTACATTGATTTGAAATATCTATTCCTCGAATGCCGACAAAATACACGGAATAGATATTGTTTGGCGAATGGGTGTTATTATTGACCAATCAAATCGGTATATACTAGTTATACTGCATAGCTTAGGTGACCCTACTTGACCCCAAACGACGTCAGGAGTACAACTAACATAATTATACCAACTAGGTTGTTCAATAACAATTCTATCACTTAATCAAACAGAATATTTGATCTGATTCTTTTTGTCCAGATTGTTGAGGAAGCACATAGACCTAGGTGAGTGACACAGGCTCTTTAGAGCCTCTAGTGTTTTTTTTTATATCAGTTGGTATAGTTTTATGAAATATTGATGTCTTACAAATGCGTTATTAATTTAATATGGACCATTGTTTTACACGCACATGTACTTTCGCATTCATTTCTTGCATTATTTATGATATAATTTCTCATTTGTTTTTTTAAATATAATCTTTTTCTGTGTGTGCCATGCTGTGTGATGTTTGTTCTGACATTGTTGTACTAGATGGTATTGGTGTAATTGCATGGTATGTATAGTCACCATTTTCGACAGACAAAACAGCTGACAAGGTATACCTTATAAATGACCCTGAAATATTTATCATAAAAAATGTTGAAAATTTTAAAACAAGAGTACATTCATATAAAATTCTGTCAATATGCATTAGGAGTTTGACCAAAGACTTCAAAAAATGGTATGAGAGGGGAACTTTGAAGTCTTCTATTGCTGTATAAGGTATATCTCAATATGATTAAATTTTGGATAAGACTACAGGGCGTTTGTAATGAATCTCAAAAGAACAAAGTTCAATGAAATGATGACAATCAAGATAACAAAAGTTTGATAGCTGCTTTTGAAGAATCAGTAGCTTTGTCATCTGCCAAGCAAGAATCATGGGTTAATTGTATTCAGAAAATATTTTAAATCTTGAACACTTATATATAAATATATCAAAACATAGACATTTACATTGAGGTTCTGAAAAAAGAAATCACCAATTCACCAACATTCCAACTGACTCCATTTTCAGAAAACGACATCTGTAACAAACATAAATTTTTAGCTACCGCTTTACATGCAGAACCAAATACAATGAAAGTCCCAACTATGTATTGGCTTCCAAAGCTACACAAAACACCTTACAAATATAGATTCATTTCGTCTTCAAGCCATTGTTCCACTACTAAATTGTCTATTCTTCTTACCAGTACACTTGGTACAATCAAAAACCTGATAATAAATTGTTCAAATAAGGCCTTCGAAAATAGTGGAATTAATTACTTTTGGAGTGTCAAGAACTCGTTGGAAGTACTTGATAAATTGCATGCATATATTGGTGATTTTGAATCTGTTCAAAGTTTTGATTTTTCTACCCTATATACCACATTGCTGCACATTCTCATTAAGAAAAAATTCACACACCTAATTGAATGGGCATTTAAAAAGTCAGAATGTGAATATATATGTTCAAACTCTTTTAGTTCATTTTTTAGTAGCAATAAACAAAAAAACTATGTCAATTGGACATGCTTTGATACTATATATGCCCTTGAATTTTTACTAGATAACATTTTTGTTCGCTTTGGAGATTCCGTATATCGTCAGGTTATCGGAATTCCAAAGGGAACTAACTGTGCACCACTTTTTGCGGACCTTTTTTTGTATTGCTATGAGTTACAATTTATGACAAAAATCAGCAAAGACCAATCGAAACAACATCTGATACACAAATTTAATAATACTTTTAGATATTTGGATGATATTTTGGCTCTCAATAATGACGACTTCAGTATGTATACTAAAGAAATTTATCCTGTTGAACTTACTTTAAATAAAGCTAATACTAACAATGACCACTGCCCTTTCCTCGATCTTGATATCTATATCATTAACGGAAAGCTTAATACTAAAATATATGATAAAAGAGATGATTTTTCATTTCCTATCGTTAATTATCCATTTTTAGATGGTGACGTTCCCTTGTCACCATCTTACGGTGTTTATATATCTCAACTTGTACGATTCGCTCGTGTATGTAACAATGTTTTAGATTTTAACGAGAGAAATTTATGTATTACTGAAAAATTATTACACCAGGGTTTTCGATATCACAAACTAGTCAAAACATTTACTAAATTTTATCATCGGTATAAGGACATCATTCGTAAATATAGCTCAACATGCAGACTTCTTATACGTTCAGGTATTTCACATCCAATTTGTTATGGAAATATTCTTTATAAAGCATAAAAATGTCAGTATTCACCTCTGAAGCTAACGAAACCTTTAAATGGACTTATTAAGAAGGGATATAGTTACGATACTGTTGTCAGGTCATTAAAGATTGCATATTTTGGCGTTAATATTGATTCACTTATAGGGTCTATGCATCGGCACTAAACACATTTATTTAAAAACCAGTTGTTGGCATGACACGGGTTATGTTCTTCTCATATATGTTATGATGGTATGATACTAAAACCCTAACGGGAAGGATTGTGCCTGATATTCATATGATGAAGACATAATCTTTCAATCAGTTTAATTGAAGTCTGGAGCTGGCATGTCAGTTAACTGCTAGTAGTCTGTTGTTACTTATGTATTATTGTCATTTTGTTTATTTTCTTTGGTTACATCTTCTGACATCAGACTCGGACTTCTCTTGAACGGAATTTTAATGTGCGTATTGTTATGCGTTTACTTTTCTACATTGGCTAGAGGTATAGGGGAGGGTTGAGATCTCATAAACATGTTTAACCCCGCCGCATGTTTGCGCCTGTCCCAAGTCAGGAGCCTCTAGCCTTTGTTAGTCTTGTATTATTTTTAATTTTAGTTTCTTGTGTACAATTTGGAGTTTAGTATGGCGTTCATTATCACTGAACTAGTATATATATTTGTTTAGGGGCCAGCTGAAGGACGCCTCCGGGTGCGGGGATTTCTCGCTGCATTGAAGACCTGTTGGTGACCTTCTGCTGTTGTCTGTTCTATGGTCGGGTTGTTGTCTCTTTGACACATTCCCCATTTCCATTCTCAATTTTAAATTTTAGAGTTATATAATTACAGCAATAAAGTAAAATGGATATTAAATCATAATATTTAGCCAAATTTAGACTTAGTGATCATAACTAAACACAGAGAGGGGTAGATACCTAAATTTAGAAATTATAACGACAGAAAATGAAACTCATGTAAGGAAACAGTAGAAGACGAGAGGCATTCTTTTTAGACTGCATGTCCTGAAAATTGTAGAATGCCATTCATCAATGATTTGAATTATAAATGTGAAAATGTTATCAAGCTTTCTTCGGAGATTAAATGTTCATGTTTATGACTAATCAAGATAGTTATGTTTTAAAACTTGTTTCAATTATGATATCTGAACTAACAGAAAATCGGGATTTCTTACAAAATCAAACCCACATATAAATTATGAGAATGATGGAATTATCTCTCCTGTGCCAAATCTAGCTGGATATCTTCAATAAAGAAAAAAAATGTACATCAATGTTGACAATTTTTTTTAGTGTTATGATTGCGTTAAAAGTTTTTATACAATCAAAATAGCTGTTACTTTAATGAACCATTAATGTCTTATTAGTTTATTGTTTAGTTTGTTTATTATATTATGAATAATTACATTAATAAAATTATCTGTATCTGTATCCTTTTACTATGTTTCAATGAGGAAAGGCATTACTGGACTAAAAAATACTTTTTTAAATGCCTAGTTAGACGTTAGATACGATATATTGATAGACAAAATATTTGCCAGAGCAAATATGCAGATCTAGTATTTTTCGGGCTAATATTAGACAAAGTATATCTTATGAGAGGTACCAGCCCTTTATAACATTATGTTATCTGATGGAAAACGTCTGTCGTACAGATATGACATATTGAGACGTATTAATATATGATATCACAACTTTTTAATTTAAAGAGTACCTGACTAAGGTAATTTTAGAAACACATGTTATCTCAAATGTGTACTTCCAGTGCTTTAGATAATTTTCTGCTAGTAGTCATTGCTATAGTACAGGCATATGTTAAAAGATACATGTATGTTTTGATTGTAATTGGTCAATGTATATATTTTGAAATTGTACTAAGGACGGAGCTCCATCAGGTAAAAGTGGCCTCAGGTTTGTTATGGTTATGCCCTTATTGTTTTGATGCTTTCATGTGTTTTGAAATTTGTGCCTCCCATTTTTTGGGTTTGACTGAATCTAATTAACGTTATCCAGAAACGCATCACACGTTTATTTATACTCAACTCAGTACTTTTTTAGTATTTTTTTCTTTAAAACTTTTTATAAATATCTTAAGAGATTGAAATGAAGGCTTCAGAGCAATTGCAATGTGATTTCCATTATGATTAATATTTTCAAGGAGCATAACTCGTTAAAAATATTTGATCAGCACTTATTTTCGAAAGTGACTAAGACATTGCTGATAAAAACCTATGATACAAGTTTCATATAATTCTGGCAATAATTGTACACATCAGAACGCTGACAATGCAATTTTCCATGTAATCAATATTTCCAAGGGGCCTAACTCATTTGGAAAAAAATTGATCGGCACTGATTTTTAAACTCCTCAAGGACATCGATGATATAAACCTATAATACAAATTTCAAAAACAATCTGGCAAGAATTGTATACATTAGAGCGCTCATAAGACAATTTTCCATATAATTGATATTTCCAAGGGGCATAACTCTTTTAGAAATTATTGATCGTCACTGATTTTCAAACTTGTCAAAAACGTTGCTAATATAAACCTATGATATAAGTTTCATAAAAATCTGGCAAAAATTGAACACATGAGAGCGCTAACGATGCAATTTTCAATATAATTAATGTTTCCAAGGGGCATTACTCTATTAAAAAAAATATGATCGGCACTGATTTTCGAACTTGTCCAAGACATTGCTGATATAAACCTATGATATAGGATTTATAAAAATCTGGCAAGAATTGTACATGTAAGAGCGCTAACAAGACCGGACGGATGGACTCTATGTGTTTCTATGTCCCCCGCAAAGCGTTGCGCTGGAGATAAAGAGGAGAAGATAGGTAGTCAAAGAAGGAAATGTGAGAGAATAATAGAGCCATAGAAGGATTAGTATTTGTTAAGTCATTAAGGGGCAGTAAGATCAACCCTTGACAGAAACACAGCTATAAAAAATTATTTAGGTCCCTATTCTCTACTTTTAGGGAAAGAATAAGGCCAAGTCAAATCAATTGCAAGACCAGACGTGTTCAATGTAATATTTACTGATTTAAGCAACCATTCAAGTAAATGGAACTAAATTTTGTACAATACAAGACAATTCATGTTCAGATATAAGATCAGTAATGTTCTATGTTATCAGTTAATCGATTTTCATACTTCTCAATGTTCCATTTAGAGATGCAAATGAAAAACGCCTCGCAGGATTCTCATGCCAACAAGAAATTGCTTCATCGTATACTTCCTGTGGGCAGTTCTTAGGCTTTGGTTGACGATATCCGGACTCCAGTTTATTTAGGATTTCGTGATTGGCTATTCCTAAAATACATATATAATTAAACGCAATTTGATTTAAAACTCTACGCTGAAAACTTCGTGAAAGAGGAAAATGTCAAACCATAATATACTACATTGTGTAAAACTTAAGGAACAGAGAAAATTGTGTTGTTTCATTTTCAAGAGGACATGCAGTTGAAAAAAAATTTAGAAACCAAAAGAAATATTATATGAACTAACATCAACGGGACCAACTTAACTGCCCAAGATGTGCATTTTGATAATAAATGTCACTTCAGTAATATTAGTGGCCAAGTTATTTGAAAATCCAAACTTATTCCGAAAGTTATTTGATCACTGTCAAGAACACTATTTACATTCAGTTGCATGTTCCTACCACAAATTAAGCTTTTCGATGGCTGTTTAAAAACGATTTAATTTTTAAGTATTTAATCAGGATTACACTAAAATATATTGTATTTGTGAGAGTATATGATATGTAAAATATCTTTTTGGCGACAAACTGGGTAACATACCAGAATAAGTTACTAGTAATAAAGTTGTCATAAATATGATGTCATATTTCGATGGAAAAAATGAGCGAGGTGGAATTTACCTCTATTTTTTCCTGCTTTCACAACGACAAACTAAGGTTTAATTAATACATGTAGCGTACTAAATCAATCGCAATGGCTGTTTTAAAGTTTAAAGGAGTGCTTTAGCCGCTAAAAGCTCTAATAGCAAATTATTATTTTAATTGATTATATATTATAAGATTTCATGGGTGGTGTTTCTCGAATACATATAATGTATAACACGCCACATAATCTATGGGGGTATCAAGCTGAAAATCTACGGACATGAAATAAGTTGTGTAATATAAAACTTGTTTTAACATGTCAATAAGTTGATCACGCCAACCTTGACAACCAGTTGATGTATGCACAATGTAAAAACTTTCTATCTTTTCAACCATGTCTACCCTTGTAAGTCTTGTCAACTCTTCCGACCAAGTCAACCCTGTCGACTCAGTCTACCCTCGCAACCTGTCGACCCAATCCAACCTGCCGACTTGTCGACCCAGTCAATCATGTCAACCTGCCGAGCCATTCAATCTGCCGACTCAGTCAACCTGTTGACCCTGTCAACCCGATTAAGCCATCCACCTTTGCAACCAGAAGGCGCAGCTCCATATCTTTATATACCAAATAATCCCTTTAAGATAATTGGCCTAGTAATCTAATTTAATATTCCGGAACTATTTTCCCCTGTACCCTACTTGAGCCAGCATTTGTTTCTTCATGTTATAGTCATTGTAAGGGTTATTGTTTTTATATGTTAAATAGTCATATTCATTGATTAATTCATTCATTACAAAACAAATTCTAAAATAACCAAGACTGTTAAAAGTAGTCTTTCAGGTTTAAAAAAAAGATATACAAGATGTGAATCCAATGTCAATTAAATATGCAAATTTGACAGCTCTACATAACGAAAATATTTGTTGAATCTGATAAATTTCTCTAACAAAAAACAGTGTTTGATATCATGTACTTGTACTCAAAAATAGAATTCCGCATACTAATAATTATTTTAGTACCTAAATATGGTTCACTTCCTTTGGTCATAATTTCTATTTAAACTATACCAAAGCACCGAACGTCCGACGTTGTTGTAAAATCACATTTAAAACCTTCCGGTGCTGTCCATTTTGCATGGAAACAATTGGCTAAAAGTGATTAAATACTTTTTTACAATAATTAAAAAAAAAACAAACTTTTACAACGCCTATGAATTATTTTTTGTCAATAGGTTAAACTTCTGCTGAGGAAACATCCGTTTGGTTGTGCCGTATTTATCAATATGCAGTCACTTCCAGTTGGAATGGGAAAGTTAAATCTTATGCTCAATGTAGGAAGAGTTCTACGCTCTCTACACTTTGAAGCACCCTTGTAAACTTCTTTTAGGGGGGGCCATAAGTAGCATATTGCAAGAAAAAAGAACATATATATATATATATATATATATATATCATATTCCTATTAACAAAAGCCCTCCAAACCCCGCTTCATCTAAGTCACATACACGTTAGATCGTTTATGTTCAATGCGCATCTCAATACCATTAATAGTGTTGCTATTTGAAATATAAGTAGAAGGAGCTTTTGTTCATTATTGAAGGCCGACTAATGAAATGCAATTATTCAAACCTGTGTACTTTGGATATTATAAACAGTTACATCATTGTAAATCACACGACAGTTCCTAATCTTCATTTTGAGTTTCTGAAGTTTAGATATTTTATGTTTTAGTGTTGAGCATTTTATTGCACTCTCTAAAAGTCTAAAGACATTTCAACAGTTTTAATGTTTTTAGTATAAATTAATGCTCAAACTTTAGTTTCAATCGAGCTTAAGTTTTAGTGGGGTCGGGTTTACATTAGACTTGATGTTTAAGATGTAGGTAGAGTAATTGTTCATTAGCAAGTTCAGGTTATAGTTTAAGGATTGGTGGTGCAGTCAAAGTTTGAATTAAAGTTGAAGTGACAGTTCAAGCTTTTCTCTTGTAAAACACTGTTGGAGGAGTTCCATGCTCTCTGTACTTTAAAGTATCCTTGCAAGAAATCTTTGAGGGAATCGTTGATGGCCTGTTGCAAGGAAAGACTCTTTCCCATCTATGTATCCAATCTATCCTCTCTATCGAGTCACAATCAAGTTTCTCGCTTGGTATCTCGGTCGATTTGAAGAACCTTCCTATTGGATTTATTTTAAATTTGTTTGACTTCTGAATTTTCTTGAAATATGTGTTGATAAGAAACAAAAATCAAACAAATTAAGGATGTTCGCTACTCTGTTTCAAAATAACAAGCTTTTTAAAAGACTGTTATAAATTGATAGTATATTAATAAAGGAACTAAAAAAGTAGAAAAAAATGAAGGGTCCGTGTGCTTGTTTTCGAGATATAAGCCACTGAAAATTTGGCGGGAAATAATTCTCTCTACACTTTTAATACATTTAACATTGGCACCCTTTTTCTTTAAAAAATTATGAAAAAATAAAAAAAAATGTATAGCATTTTCAAATATGGCTTTTTAAATTATATGTAATAAAATTATGAAAAAAAGTAGGGGTTAGCGGGGAAATTTGTTTAA